TGGTGCTTTCAGGTTTTTGGGTTTTCAGGTTTTAGGGTTTGGGGGGGGTTTTGTTTTTTTGGGGTTTTGTAATTTGGGAATTTTTGGGTTTGGGGTTTTCAGGTTTTGAGAGTTTTGGGGGCTTTGGGATTTTGGGTTTTCAATTTTTGGGATTCTGGGGTTTCTTGGGAGAGCGCTTGGGGGTTTTTGGGGTTTTTTGGTGGTTTTGGAGTGGTTTTTGGGGGGTTTTCAATATTTTTTGGGGATTGGGGAGGTTTTTTTGGGGTTTTTTGTGGTTTTGGGTTTTCAGGGTTTTGTTTTTTGGGGGGCTTTTGGGTTTTGGGGTTTTTGGGTTTTGTGGTTTTGGGGTTTTGAGTTTTGGGGTTTTTGGGGCATTTGGGGTTTTTTGGGGTTTTGGTTTTGCAGGAGTTTTGAGGGCGGTTTTGGGGCGTTTTTTGAAGATTTTGGGGGGGGTTTAGGGTTTTGGGGGTTTTTTGGGGTTTTTTGGGGTTTTGTGGTTTTGGGGGCTTTTTGGTTTTGGGTTTTTGGGGATTTTTGGAGTTTGCAGATTGGGGGTTTTTGCGGCATTTGGGGTTTTTGGGGATTTTGGTTTTGCAAGAGTTTTGAGGGCAGGTTTGGGGTGGTTTTTGAGGAGCTTTTTAGGGTTTTTGGGGGGTTTTGGGGGGGTTGGGGGGTTTTTGGCTTTTCGGGGTTTTACGGTTTTGGGGGCTTTTGGGTTTTGGGGATTTTGGGTTTTGGGGTTTTGGAGTTTGCAGTTTTGGGGTTTTGGGAGCATTTGGGGTTTTGGTTTTGCAGTGGTTTGGAAGAGGATTTTGGGGCGTTTTCTGAGGGGTTTTTTTTAGGGTTTTTTGCAATTTTTTGTGGCGTTTTTTGGTTTTTTTTTGTTTTTGGTGTTTTTTTGGGGTGTTTTTTGTATTTCTGGGGTGCCTCACCTCCATCTCCCGCTGCAGGGAGGTGCCGGGGCCCAGGCTGGGGGCCACCATCGGGGGGGTCACGGGGAACTTGGGGGGCAGGCGGGGGCAGCGGCGCAGCAGGACGGGGTTCACCCCGCTCAGGAACTGCTCCCCGAAAAACGCGTCCTCCTGCCAGTGCTGCACCACGTACTCTGGGGACAGCGGGGGGACATTGGGGACACTGGGGACATTGGGGACATTGGGGACATTGGGGACATTGGGAACATTGGGGACATTGGGGGGACATTGGGGACGTTGAGGACATTGGGGACATTGGGGACATTGGGGACATTGGGGACATTGGGGGACAGTGGGGACA